TTTGCAGTCGACTATTGATGACACTTAACTCTACTTTTTTTTTATACTAATGGTAGTAGTGCATTAAAATTTTTTTATTTAATTAAATAATACACCAAAGGAGATCGAATAATAACATGCAAGAGGGAGACAATTTCCTCTAACAAGCAAAATTTTTCTGGCTTTCTAACTATGTGAGAAGAGCAGTTACAAATTCACCCAAGCTAGTCGTTACCTTTCCCATGGGAACAAAGCCTGTACTACAAGTGAAATTGACGATTATCTGTTCAGAACACATGATACATCATTTAATAGATGAAAACATTGACTTTCTGTTGATAATAGGTAATATATAATTAAACATGAGAGAACTATTAACAAATCCTGAGAGAGAGGATGTGGTAGGAGGGGGTCTGATTTTCTATTTGATAGCTCTGTAACCAAACAATATTGAATGCTATAAAAATTATGGTTTGTCTGAGCAATGAGAATTTTATAGTAATAATTTACATTTAATTTTCTAGCTACTGGAGGGGTGGTGGATAAAATAAAGAAGAGAAGATATGTAGAGAAAATGTCGTGTGTCACACTACTAGAAATTCAGGATTTTTTTAAAATATTGCATTATAGAATTAAGAACTTAAACTATGTACTACTGAAATATGGATTATTAGCTAAGATTTTATGCTATACAAATTGGTATAACATAAATAAAATGTAATTCAACAAAATTTTGGATATAAGACACTAAAACCTTGTGTCATGGTGATTGGGTAAATCATTTCTCGATTAGTAGTCTTCTTGAATAGGCATGTTTTCAATCACAGTTTGACTCGCTTATCCACAAGTTTTTACTTTCTTAAATTTTATGCTTCAGTTGCATTGTTATTTACCATTTTCATTGTTTTTTGTGGAGTTTTATGCCTTATTTTATATATCTTTTTAATTTTGTGAGTTATACACTTGCAGTTTTGGGTAGTCATTGCTACAACTGCTGTTACTGCAGCAACAGGATTACCAACTGTGTCCAATGGGTTGAAACCACAATTCTCAGCCCGTGAAATGAGGGCTCTAATCTGTCAGGAGTTTACCAATTACATGTAACAATTAGAACAAACTGAGGATTGTCCTATGAAGAGTGTTTGGGAAGGTTATGATTTGGACAGTCTTTTTCGCTCCTTCTGAATATGCCACTTGTGTGTCCTTTCTGGGGATTTTCTAAGACTTCTTGTGGATTTGATCATTCAGGTATGTTATATTCTGTCCTTATCTCCCAATTCCTATATTCCACCCCTGCCCTTCTTGGGGATGAGCCTTTGGGTCATCATTTAGTTTTTTTCCTCCTTCCCTAGATATTGGGGTTTATGCAAGTCATTTTGAGGAGCATTTGCATTCAGGGGTCAGTATGCCTTAACCTCCATATACTTTGGACAATCATGCCTTTGTTTACCATCATTCTGACTTCCCTATTTGGACTCACAGCATTTGGTGTTGCTTCTCCCTTGGTATGGATTGGACCCTGATAGTTCAATTACCTTTTCCCATAGTCATCTTTCTCTGGTCAGGGCTTGTGGGGGGGGGGGGTGTCAGACTCCTTCAATTTGCCCTATTTGGAGGTCCTTGGTGTTCAATCCATGGGTTCTGAAAGTCAGTTCAATATGTGTGTTCCTCTACTTGCATTTTTTTCTTTTTCTTTTGTCTCACAATCCTGTTTCTTTCTCTCCTCCTCAGGATTCTGTATTTTGTCTGCCTGATTCATTCCAGGGCCCTTCGTTTCCACCATTATATGGAGGTCTGGCTGCTTCTTGAATTCTCACAAGACAATTCAGTCCGACATCCTCAGTTTCTCTTCCAGGATGCTGTCATGGTGGGTTGGCCTGTCGAAAAGGAGAAGTCTTCTCTCACACCCACACAATTTTTGATTCATCTCACTGTGTTTTTCAACTCTTTTTTTTTTTTCTGATGGGCCCTACCTGCTCCACTTCAGTTGCAAGCTATGGAATGTCTTTTATGCAGCATCTCATCCTTTTCTTCTCCTACTGCATTAGAGGTTCTTCCTCATTCCTCTTGGTCGTGCCCTCACGTGTTATCATCAGTGAATTTTGATAGACCAGTGGAGACTTTTTTGGGATCCCTTAGATGCCCCTCTTACCTTTTCCCTTCCTTGCAGATCAACTTTGCCTGGTGGTTGGATTGGAACAATAATAGCATGGGTATTCCTCCTCCTCATCTGGAATGTCACCTTTTAGGGATGCTTCTCTTTGTGGTTAGAAGGTGTATCTCAACACTCAAAAGGTTTCAGGGTGAGGGTCTCTTTCCAAGTCCTCTCCTCATGTCAATTTCTTGAAACTTCTTGCTGTTCATTGGGCTTTCCTTCATCTCCTGTGAGTTCTTTGGGGCCAGTTGTTGATGGTTCACTTTGACCTTTCGACAGTAGTCTCATACAGTAATGGGCAAGGCAACTCTTGGGATACTCTAGGGGTACCAACGAGTAGTGGGATTGACCATCACATTATAATATCCCCATGTCTGAAAGGGGAGCAGGTTTGGTTGGACGGGGATTTGAACCCACGACCCTCAGATTGGGAATCGAGCATCCTAACCACCTGGTTATGCCAGGCCGAAATACAGCTTAGTTACTAAGTTTGATAAATTATAGTGGAATTCTATGGTATAGATATATTAATTTATGATTTTTGGTTATTCAACTCTATACATAAAGCATCCTAACCACCTGGTTATGCTAGGCCGAAATACAGCTTAGTTACTAAGTTTGATAAATTATAGTGGAATTCTATGGTATAGATATATTAATTTATGATTCTTGGGTTATTCAACTGTATACATAAAGCATCCTAACCACCTGGTTACGCCAAGCCGAAATACAGCTTAGTTACTAAGCTTGATAAGTTATAGTGGAATTCTATGGTATTGATATATTAATTTATGATTTTTTGGTTATTCAACTGTATACATAAAGCATCCTAACCACCTGGTTATGCCAGGCCGAAATACAGCTTAGTTACTAAGCTTGATAAGTTATAGTGGAATTCTATGGTATCAATATATTAATTTATGATTTTTGGGTTATTCAACTCTATACATAAAGCATCCTAACCACCTGGTTATGCCAGGCCGAAATACAGCTTAGTAACTAAGCTTGATAAGTTATAGTGGGATTCAATGGTATTGATATATTAATTTATGATTTTTTGGTTATTCAACTGTATACATAAAGCCAAAAAAAATATTTCATTTCATATCCTCCACGTGCAAAATTTTAAAGGTCTTAGCAACCTATATCAAGCAGCAACTGAGTACAAAGGTCATAACTAGAAGAGATAATTGTTTGCTTCTGTGTTTTAAGAAAAATAAGTTTAAAAATAATAATAATCTATATACATATATAATGTATAATAATTGAAATGTGACTGTATTTTACAAAATACTAGTCCTCTAAAATACAGCCAAGACAGGTCACTTTGTAGAGACTAAAGGTCAGTTTTATATTATTGGATATGGTAACGTGAGTGCATGTGCGCTGCATCATGGTAACTTCTATATTGTTAGCCAAGCATGGCTGAAAGGTCAGTATAATAAAAATAATTAATATATATATATTATAAATATATATAAATGTAAAATGTTATGAGATTTAAGCTATTTAGTTTTAAACATGTTTTTGAGTTATAATTTATAGTCATTCTAAAAAAGCATAATTTATATTTATTTCCTAACTTTTTATGGTGGTTATGAGATCAGTCAAATTGACCAAACCCATACAGATATTTATTAGTGAAAATAACAGATAAAATATTATGTTTTATCTTAATAAACATTTGATAACTATCTGGACATTATAAGGATTTTGCATATTGGATAGGGAACGTGCAAAAAGAAAAAAGGCATGAGAAAAGCATTGCTTTAGAAAAAATCAAAATTTAAAAAAATCATATTTTTCAAAAACTACATTTTCTTAGATTTAAAATAATTTCATCCACTAGTTTCATTTCACAATAGTTGCATACCTACTTACAATTTAAGTAGGTTGTAGTCAAAGCAATGGGTGACAAAAAATTATGATTAACAATAACAAGTATTAAAGGTTTTGCTGGTTTTACAATAAAATGAACAGAATTTGATGGTATTTTGTGTGATTTAAACAGCACTATAAGAGATTTTCTGAAAGAAAGAAAATTTGCATTTTGGTATAGATTGAAGACTAAAAAATTAATTAAGTTATGGAAAATGCAATTCAAGAGGATCCCCCATTAATGCCCTTCAAATGAAAAAATTAATAAAGCTATCTCAAATGAAGCAAAGAAAGTGAAAGCAAGATTAGAAATGGAAAAGTTAAGGATTAAAATTGAAGTTCTTGATACCATTCCAAAAAACTTTTAGATAACAAGGTCAACATTTTTTGAAAATTGTTAATTTTAACAGAAAATAATTTGGTTACTAGAAAAAAGATTAACATTTACTCCCACAAATAAACCTAATAAACAATAGCTGGTAGAAGATATATATATAGGAATTCAATAGGAAATTAAGACTTAAAGAATATTTTTATGATGTTTCAAATATAGTTGAATCCCTACTAAAAGGGAAATTAGATTTTGATCCTGTTCAAGGAATAAACCCTTAACTACAGTTAACTTGTGAAAAAATTGAATTATATTCTGTAACTGAAAAACAAGGGAAAGACAATTTAATTTTAAAAGTACAGAAATTGTCAAGAAACGTTTAAATTATAATTTGATATTTTAAAAACTGGATAAAGTATGGGTAGTTATTCATTGTAGAATATTTTGGAAAAATAAATTTTGTAACTATAATTAGGAAATGTTATTGATTACCTTTACAGTTTCAATCATGTTTAAACTAAAACTTTTTTTTAAATGAAAATATTATTTTTAAAATTAATAGTAGTAGTAATTTTGAAGTAATTATATGTGAAATTTTATGAAAAAGAATAAATTACATTTCACTTCCACAGATTATAGTTAGCTTTTCATGTTTTGTGTGTTGGTTTGTATATGTAAGATAATTTGTATAATTTTCTAACTAGTGTAATTGGTACAAGTTCTCTCCGGAGGATTGCCCAATTGCGACGTCGTTATCCTCATCTTCTATTCCAGAATATTGTATCCTTTTGCATCAGCTATATAGAAAAAAACCCTAAACTGTATTTTTGCTTTTGATATATGCAGAAAAGAATAAGTTAAAAAGTTTATTTAATATTTGGCATTACCCTATATAGCCTTTTCATTCACTGTATTTAAACTGTGAAAATTTAGGAATTTTTTGTAAATTTTAAATCATGGTGCATCATAGAAACAAATTGATGTAGATTGTAAAATAAATAGATGTTTTATTGGTGTACTACTTTTCAGTTTCTATTACCACAAACATGTTAATTTTTACTTTGTACATTATTTTACTAACATATGAGCTTAGCATGGCCAGGTGGTTAGGACACTTGACTTGCAATCTGAGGGCCATGAATTCGAATCATATCCCTGAACGTGCTTGCCTTTTCAGCCATGGGGGTGTTATAAGTTGAATATCAGTTCCACTATTCGGTAGTAAAAGAGTAACCCAAGAGTTGGTGGTGGGTGGTTTTGACTGGCTTTCATTCTCCTAGTATATCACTTCAAAATTAGCTCAGATAACTCTTGAGTAGCTTTGCACAAAATAAAAAAACAAAACAATACTAATATGTGTCATTAAACAAAATTTTTTGTCTGAATAAGTTATCTTGTTATGTAATTATAAATAATTCTAAAGCATGTTGTGGTTTAGCTGAAATCTTTCAAAATTATAAATGAACTTCTCTTTGAAAGAGAGAGAAAATGGTGTTTGAAATGAAATTCTACAACTTAACTGTTTACATAGAGAGGGAACCTAAATACGAGACTAAGAAAATTAGATGAAAACAATACTTACAGTGCTCTGATTCTTGCTAATGCAGGCTTACAGAGAATGGGATGGAAAAATCGAATATCTGCCGTAAGTATTACAGAATGATACTATTCCCACACTCTTAAAAAAGTATTAAAAATTTCTTAAGTATATTATACAATACTTAGAAAAGCTTACTCTGTGTCATTAATTTAGCTGTAATGCAAAAAACAGTATTATGTTATTAATTTGAATGCTTATACAATAGTAACATTTGTATTTGAATCATAGAAAGCAAATCTGTACGTGGTTATTTATGTTACTTATTGTTTCCTTTCATTGACCAAAGGTTAAACCATCCTAGCCTGTTTGAATTCCATCAAATACTTATTTTTTTACAATTTAGATGGTTTTTTGTATTTCAGAATTGAATATTTGCTGCATACCTTTAAGTGAAAAATGTGATTGATTTTCACCTTTATTCTTAAAATAACATCATCATCTATAATATGTTTAGTAAATTTTCAGATGAATTTCTCTTGGATGTACAATCATTATTTGATTCTAGATTGTTAATTACTACAGATGTTTTGTGTTTGTAGAAATTTTATAAGATATTTTGCCTATGATATATTATAGATGTTTTCAGTTTGTATTGGAAATGTTAGATAGAGGTGTGTGTGTGTGTGTGTGTGTATATATATATATATACACACATACACACACACCATTTAGGGTGATTATGTGATGAACATAACAGCGTAACTGATAATGTTTTTAAATATGTTACTCTTAAAAGAATCCTGTATGGGATAAATTGTTGTGTACTGGTATTTGTTGTACTTCTTGTTTTTCCAGGTTAATACAAACAAAGTCATTCATTTAATACTAGAGCACTTTAAGCCTGTTTACTCACAAATTCATTCTTAATTGAAATTCTATAGATTCTAAAAATTTTATAATACCTTGTATTGTATGGTGTATAACGTCCAAGTTATAAAAAATTATCCAAGTCGGGTGAAGATGGAACAAGTATCCATTCAGATGTGATGAATCAGATAAGTTAGCATTTCCATCAACTGATAATCTCTCAACATTATGCAGGCATGATACTACTTGTGTGTGCATCATACGTAAAAGGTATTGTATCATCTAGCTCACTGGTGCTTTATGCTGGCTTTTAAACATTGTAATATTTCCATGATATCATGGAGTAGGAGCCTTGGTAGCCATAATACAGTTAGCTTGTAGTTTAAATAAATATCATACACTCACAGTATATTGCCACCATATGTAAAATGTGATTGCAGCAACAGCAAGCACAGTCCAAACAACAATATTAGTGGTTGATCAGAGTGTAAAGCTCTGTTTCACACTACCACATGCCATACTCCCGTGAGGGCCTGAATTGGATGCTCACTTATGCAGAACTGTACATCCTTACTAAATTTTCAAAAAACACTGACAAAGTAACTACATTAATACTATACTATAATAGAAAGGTAGATTATGCCTGTGACACATTTTCAATATGTATAGCTACATCTACTATCTGATCAGATATTGGAAGCCAGATATTTGAAATTGTGCCAAAACCACTATTTGTCCAATTCCTAGTCAAGGGTAACTGGTATAATTAAACACTCCTGGCAGATTGGTAGTAGTTTTATATATTGTTAATAACTAGCTCAGTATAAAACATGTTATAGAATATTGATGTTTCTTTTTCTATTGTAAGCAACTGACTTTGATACTGTTGTGGCATTGTTATTTTGTTGGCTGGTTCTTTTCAATTATTTTGTGACAATAATTAAATGTCCAATTAACAATTATTAACAGTAATAAATTACTTTATTTCTTCCTTTAATGTTTCTACAAAATTTTATACTTGTACACTGCCAAAAATTGTTGTAGACCTACATTAAAAATTACTTTAACTGATGTAAAACAACCTAATTTACTTGTAGAAAGTAACCACAATGGTTAAAACTGACTGGTTCACTCTCTGTCATCAAATAACTCCATATTCTCTTAACTATATTCTTGACTATCTTTCAATTCACTCTCTAACTAATCTAATAATGCTTTATGGAATCTTGTGTTTATAATCTAGTTTCAAATGTGCTAGAACACTACGTCACATTCTTAGACTTTACTAAATGTTCTAGGCCTATATTATTAAATTTTCTGATCTTAATGTCATCATTACGACCCACAGCTCCTTCTAGGTAGCATTTAAATTACAACATTAAAAATATATCTTACAATACTTTACCAGCTTTAGCATTATACATCTTTAAAGAAATGGTTTATCAGACAATTTCTTTGACTACATTAAACATAATTCTGGTTAAGTAAGGTTTGCTTATAGTATAAGTACTACACCTGGACACTAGCAGATCCTATTTCATGGATAAACACATTCTTGGATGATGTATTATACTACTACTACTACTACTACTACTACTACTACTACTACTGATACATGCTGTTTGGTGTTAGATTCCAAGCAATTGAACATGAATGTGGAAACTGTACAGTAATCAGATTGATGGCTTTTGTATGTGACAGGTAATTTAGATAACTAAATTTTAAAATCATTCACTATAATGTATGTCATGTCCTAACTAGTTGGTTGTGCTTGTGTCGTTCATCTTGTGTAGAAAAATAATTTTTTGTTGTTGTTTCTTTCTTACTTTGTACTCGTGGAATTTTTATTTATTCGTTGTTTTATTGCTTTGAACTGGACTCATTCCTGAAAAGATGCAAGTGAGGTCTTGTGCATTTATTGATACCAGATATGAGAAATTTCATTGTTCAATTTTTATAAAAGTACATTCTTTATTGCAACTTATAATACCAAAAGCATCAGTTCAATGAAGTTTTTATAGATGCATGGCTTCTCTAACTTACCAATTTCAGGTGATGGAGTGAAGCTATAATGTCTTCAGCAGCACAACCTCCTTGGAAATAACCAACAACAAAACACTATATTGCTGCATATCTTACATTCCAGAAATCGGTCATAAAATAACTAACATTTGGAAAAAGTTGAAATTAAACACAAAATTCCAGTAACCACTGAATTCATCCAAAAACTGGATACCACACTAAAATCCATACTATGTAAAAATTACTCAGACAAATACAACACTAATGCCATTTATAAAATGCAATATCACTGATTTATTGATACATCATGATATTTCAGACTCTTCCTCCTGAGGACTGTATGCATGCAGTGGGTCAGGGAGCTTTAGCTGTTGAAATTCGTGCCAATGACAGAGATATTTTAGACATTCTGGCACCATTAACAGACAAAGACACAGTTCTACAGTGTATAGCAGAAAGATCCTTCCTCAAGAAGTTAGAAGGTGGATGTAGTGTGCCAGTTGGTGTTTATTCTTCTTTTAAAAAAGGAAAGGTATAAAAATTATGTTCTTAATAATAAGCAACATAACCTTATTTACATATATATAAGAAAAAATGTTTTGAATTGAAGTGATAAGTTTCATATAGTGTTTAATTTGCTTATTAACTCCCATTGTGAATTTCCATAAAATATAATGATCTATATAGACAAATGACAAAGCAGTTTATTTTTTTACCCATTTAATAGTATTACATGAATATTAAGTGGTGATCTGAATTAACTTACATTTTAGTATTGATTGTGACAATGGTAAGATTATAGTTTGGGCTGTGAACCTAAACTCTTTAAACTTGAGCAAAAAAAAATAATGCAACTGAGCTTAAAAGCCCATGTTATGAAATATAGAAACAGGAGATAAAAACATGATGACCACAAAAACATTACATGTGTATATATAACATTTTTGTTCTATTATTTTCAGCTCTTTCTTCAAGGTGGTGTCTTCAGTTTAGATGGTGCTAAAGCAGTTATTCATTGCCTTGAGACTGATATATGTATCCAAGAAAAAGAGAATGAACCAAGTGACAGTCAGGAGGTATTTTTTCTCCACCTTTGATTTTGTAAAATAATTAGTATTCTAACAGTTCAAATTTCAAATAAATGAAGAATATTTCTTTCAACTAGAGGGCTTCCATGGTGATAACTGTATATAAAATATATAAAAAAAAAACTTTAGTGTGAAGTTTATATTTTATACTATAAATTCAGCATTTGTATTAATGTTCTAAAGTTATGTATCCTTAGACTGTGATTTCTTATTTTCATAAGTATGATGTTTTAAGTATATGTTTAGTTCTTTGCCAGCATTATTAAAGGTTTGAATACCAATTTAAAATGACAAGTTAAAAAAAATGAAAGGTACATATATGAATCCTTTTAATTGTTCTGTTAAACAATTTGTAATAATTTATATTATTTTTTATGGTTTAAAAATTGATGTACCTAGACTTTAAAATAGAAATAATTTGTTAACACAAAATTAAAAAGAAAAAAAAAAAGACATAGTTGTGAAGAATTATACACACCTTTGAAGAATTATGAAAATGTTTTTATATTCTAATTTTGGAAGGGTGTTTCTTGTACTGCCACATATCAGTTTTGTTGTTTGCCTTAAATTAGATGTGTACCTCATGAGCTCAAGATTTTATTTTTTTATTGCCTCAGGTAATAAGATACAGAATGGTAGTCATATGTAACAGGTTATACATCTTGTAGCACGTAACGTTTATGTGCAAACATTTTTAGTTTAATTTATCTCTGATTATTTCTAAAAAAATGTGACACTTTTAAAAAACAGAACTTCTAATAATGAGCAGTTGGTCAACTCAAAGCAAAAAAATTAATTGAAAAGTATAATGATAATAAATGAAAATAGATAATTGTAAAAAAAAAGAAGGCACAACTTGCATGTCTTTCTAATTGCATGTATAACATGTGTATGTTATTTTTTATTTTAATAGAAGGAAGAACTCAAAGAGTTTTGTGGAGTAGTTGTGTCACACCTTAATCAACAGCTGCTAAACAAAGCATTTAAACTTGGGCTTGATCTTGCTAATTATCTGCTTGAAAAAGGTGCCAAAGAAATATTAGATGAAGCTCGAAAAGCAAATGAAGCATCAGACACTTTATGAATTTTAAGTGTTTATATAAGGTATTTAACAATGGTAAAGACACCAAATACAAATGTTATTTTGGTGCTAAATATTGTGTATAAAATTATCACAGCATGAAATATTGCCAATCTTTTGTGGTATTGTTCTTGGTTTTGCACCAATTATTATTTTGTTTATTTTCATATTTAAATATAGGAGGTGACTAATCTTGATAAAAGAATTGGAAAAGTATGGTATGTAAAAATATCCATTTTGGGGAAATCTAGTAGAATATACCAAGTTTAAGCATTTTTGAAAAGAAATTTATTACACAGGTCTGTGAATTTAAACTTCATAAAAGTTGTTTTGGTTTTAATAATGGATTTTCCATACTTCAGCTACACAAATTTTAAAATAATATTAAGTTTTTTCTATCATGTAAGGATATTTTTACAAATTCAGAAAAAAAATCTATTACTTAGATCAAATTAATATTTCATTTACCACAATGAACATTTTTATTATTATTAACAAAAAATACAAACAAACTGAAGAAAAGGAAAGTACATTGACATCAAACAAATATGCATCCTTATTCATCCTGATTTTTTTGTGAAATCTATATCTTTTAGTATCAAAACTATGTGTTGTGGTCTTTCTCTGTTTAAATAAATCTATAAACACTGTATTACACTATTCAACTTTTACCCACTGTTTAAATAAATCTATAAACACTATATTACACTCTTCCACCTTTACCCACTGTTTAAATAAATCTATAAACATTATATTACACTCTTCAACCTTTACCCACTGTTTAAATTATGCATTATGACATTTTGTAAAAAATCTGTACATGATGTAGTAAAATAGATATATTTTAGGATTCAGCATAGAGAAATAACTTTTTCAGACCAATCTGAATAAATATTTGACTGATAATTATTAGATTAAAATATTTCACATATTATACAATTACATTATTTAAAAGTAAGATTCATTAAAAAGTACTTAAATAAACTTCTCTGTTGTAACTTTTATAGCAGGTAATTTAAGTAATTAATAACTGATATTAAAAAACAACTTAGAAATAGAAAGTCATACAAAGTTAGTTCTTATATTCAGATGAATAATTTTTCCCAACCAGGTAATTTAATACAGAATAAATGTATTTATTACTCCAGTTTCTGATCAAACCCACTTATACTGTCTTTGAGAAGTTGTTTGATTTAGATAGAAGGATTTATTTTTGTTACCAGCATGGATGGTGATCACTGATTTCTTAGAATACATCATAAAAATGTTGTTTCATTTTACTGAGAAGAAGAAAGCCTTTGTTTCAAACACGTTTACAAAGAGTATTTGTTCAAACACCAGGTTCAAATACTACAAGTCTGATTGATTTGAGGAAGGTTACATAAGTGAAACAAGTGATCATTAGCAAAGGTAAAACTTGTTTATACAAGGTAATTGAAATACATTACAACCTGGGATATACATGGTTGAAGTCAGAACATATGTGAACCTCTTTTTTGTGTAATTTTAGTGGTGTGGAATGCTTCAAAACATTCATGGCAGAGTGGAACTTCATACTGGACTCATGCATACCAAGTCTTGCACTTGCAATGACTGTCCCTGCAGTGTAAGAAATATTTTCTCTCAATTTCCTTGGGGAAGTGATTCTCTTTGCAGAATGCTTATTGGCTAGAACACTGTATATGGGTCTCTTCTTTGCTGGTGGAAGAATTGTTTGTGATGTTGGCCATCCTCTCTTTCAAGTTCCCCTTTCCACATGTCCCTTGTAGAGCAGACCAGGGACAATACAGCTCTTGAATCCAACAAATCAATTTCTACATGACTATTCTACTTCCACAGTATCCATTCATTCAATAGTGCTACACCTATAAGCTGGTAAATTGTTCTCATATATGAAAAATAATACATAAAACAAAAAAAATTAAAATATTAAGTGCTTGCTACTGAAAACATTAAAAAAATATATATGTATTTTGAGAAGAAAAAAAAGACCATTAAATTGTCACTCTTTAAGCCTAAATGAGAGCTGGAAATTTTTTGTTAAAAAACTTTTACTTTTGTTAGTAAATTTTACAACATATGTCTTTACAAAAAAATCAACTATATGATGACAAAATCATTTTCAAGTTCTTTCACTACAATAATTTTATCAGTATGTTAGTTATTTTTTGTTGACTCGTACTTGATGAAATGAATCACAACTATTATATAACTTACTATTTATTCTCTTCAGTTGTTTTCTAATGTTAAAAGTCCAAAAGACTATAAATTTTGTAAGTAAAATATAGTTTTTGTAAACGTTTTTAATATGCATTTAACTGCTTGCATCATGAATGAACTGTTTAATTTTTGTTTGTACAACTAAAACTTGATACAGAGCAAGATGTTGAGTAAAGGCACTTTATGAAATATTACAATTTATATCAAGCAAATTATGTAATTTTTTAAAGGAGTCTAAGATAGATACTAACCTTACTGTGTACTTTAGCTCAAAGCTTTTGTCCAAATTAAATTTGAATTCTAAGTGAATACACTTTAAACTCAATTTTACTTTCTTTGTTTTTTTAACACTTGTGGATAGAAATTTTAATATTTATTTTCTCAAGTTTAATCAAAAATCATATTTATTTTTATGATTTTTTATGTTTCTACAACAATATAAACTCCAGAAGAAGTTTAATTATAATTTGGGTAAGTTTTGCACCTGAAGTATTCATGCATATGGATGGTTTATCCATAAATAACTACATTTTTAGTGTTCAAAGAAAAATAGGTCAATCTTCAAACAATACAATTTGTTCTTTTTATGCATGAGTATGTATTATTTTATGTTGAGTTTCTTAGTTTTTTTTTTACTTTGGGTTCAAAGTTAATGTATGGAAATTAAAACATTCGAAAGATTTAAATCTTTCATGTTTCATATACTGTGAGTATAAGAGCTGTTGAAGGTTCCATACATATACTACACTGTTGTTATTTATATTCCTGATATTGCTGTTGGCAATTACATATACAATGTATGAAAAGGTTACTAACTCTGTATACTTAGTAGGCTTTATCTAAATGACACATGTTTGCATTTATTATTGATTTAATATCTTAGAATTATCATATAAAGTGTACTTTCATTGTTTTTTTTAAAACCAAGTAATCACATTTGTTGTTATATTTCTTCAGTTGATTTGACATTTTTAGATATTTATGTTTTTATTTAAAAACAACTTTTACTTCCAATAAACATACAAGAAAGTGAAGTATTTCTAATATTCTCTCATACTTATAAAAGCACTGTTTACATACTAAGAGAGCTTTGTTGTTCATAAATGTTGTGCTGGTTAACAAAATATATTTCACAATAATTTATAAACTGGAATGGATCTTCTTGTAAAAATATTATTTTGTAATATGATGAATAAAGAATTAGAACCTTTAATAATGTCTTATGAATATTATTTAACAATTTATCAATATTCCTGTATGTATTTTCATGTTATTTTAGATGCACAAATGAAATTCACAAGCATACCATTTTAATTAAAGTGGAATACAATAAGTAGTCAAAATGGTCAAAAAAGTATTTTTATATCAGTTGGCTATAAGAGTTTCAGTTGTCTTTTTTGTATGTGATAAATGTATGCAAAAACAAGAACAAAAGCTTTAAACTTAAAACTTACCACCTAAAAATCATTTAAGTAATCAAAACATTTAAGTCTTAAATGTAAGCATATATTGACATGAAAAGTATACTTTAATGTGTACAAATTGAAGGTAAGGGGCATACCCAAATTCCATTGTTTTAATATAGGCTTTAGATATCCTGCTGTCAGTTCCTCAGTTTCTCAATTGGTTTTCATCCTTGACTTGGCTAATTGTAACAGTTTTCCTTAATGCCACACATGTGCAATGCTGTATAAATTTAAAAATTACCCAGGAGTAAGCTTTCTTATACAAGGCGACAGCATCTAGTTGTAGAACCCACGTATTCTTCATACAAGAAGCATTCAAATTTATAGATGATGAAGAAATATTTATTCTTAGGTTTTGTATATTTAGATGAAATGATTTTTTTAAATTCTTACAATGGGCTTAAATATATATATCAGATTTCAATCTGTAGATAAACCCTACCTACAGTTAAAATTAACTTCTTTCCTATATACTGTGACAATTGTCCTAAAAAATGGTAATACTATTACTGTTGGTTTTTTTGGTACATCAAACTTCAGAACTTGCCACATTTTGCATATCTTCCATAGTAAAGTGACTTGAATTTAATAAAACACTCTTTGAATATTTTTTTTTCATAGAAACTTCAGAATGAATTAATCATAGCAGGTGTAAACTGTAATGACAAAAATAATCAAAAATTTCATCCTTTCATAACTAATATGAAATATATGTCCAGATGTGTGTGTGTATGTATATATATATATATATATATATTCAGGTACATTTTTTTCTAAATTTTTTGTGCATGTGTTATGGGTTTCTTTTTAAATGAATATTGTGATGTCATAAATGTACAAAGCCTTTTACTTTAATCAAGTTGCATGTACCAATGGCTAGAAATTCGTATCACTTTGGTGTGTGTTTGAATCCCTTATGAAGGAAAGTGCCTATCTTAATGAGTGGTTCAGGTATTTGAAAGAAAACAATATGAATTAGGGATTTTCTTCCCAAGAAATGTTACTTTGAACAATTGCAAACTAATGCAGCATTGGATTCTGATGCTGTAATTTCACGTTTTGTTTGAATGTAACAATAAATTAGAATTGTTTTTACCTCTGTAGATGTGTTTTCAAAGAAGGACATCATCCAATTAAAGCCATAACAGAATTTAAGGTTAGCAAATAAGTGAAATAGTTGACAATGTATTTTTCACTGTGAATAAAGATTTTGTTTGTTTCTTTTCTTTGCTGTCCAAGTTTATAATCATTCCCTGCAGTGCTTTTCTGAATCTGCATTTTGCAGGTACTTTTATTTGTCAGATACCAGTGTACCTGAATACCACAATATTAACACTGTCAGTATGGTCAAAAATTGTGCCATTAAACACAAATTATAGTTCTCCAGCTACAAATGATATAAATTTTGAAAACACATATTTAAATAATACATTTTCTATGTTTGAAGAATAAAAATAACCTATTTTGAGCAGAAAATCGATTGTTCCTTGGAATGTTAGTATTGTTGCGTCAGCAGTCACATGACTACAGTGACGCAACGTT